AACTGCAGAGGGAGAGACACTGCAGCCCTCAGCGCCCTGGAAGGATGAAGAGGGCTCCAACTGAGGCACCTGGCAGCGATGGAAAAGCCGAGGTAACACTGAGACATAGTCCAGCGGCAAATACTGAAAGGTTTTGGTGACCATGCGGCCTTGGGGGGAAAGAGAAAGAGAGAAACAGAAAATGCCCCCAGGTTTGTAGTTCAGATGGTCAGATGAATGCTGATGTCTTAGCATTCATACTCTGATTACTACTTCCTTGTGGAATCAATTATCCTAGGAGTCTCCTAGCTGCTGACTACCAGTAAGTGATTTAGTGCCTATTTATAGAGAAAAAATAAAAAATACAACAACATTGGAAGCCAATAGAAGCCAGAGAAGCCGCTTCCTCCCACTAGGTCTAGCCTATGTCTATGGCCCTGAACTGACCCCTGATCTCAAGCCCTTTGGATATGAAAATAATAGAGTGGTTCTCTCTCAAGCTGGTAGACAACACAGCTTCTTTTTAGCACCAGAACTGCTTACAGGTACGGTTCACAGGGTGGTGAAAAGAGATTGATGAACATACAATTTTAGGACATTTTATTTTCACTTGGGACAATGCTGAAATAGTTTTTAAACTATAAGGAGTATCTCTTGAAAATTATTATTTTATCAAGAAGGACAACTGATTAAATCTAAGTTCTGTACAATATCCAGAGTTCATGAGACAGTATCAAGTTTAGGTACATAAAAGAAAATGTATTTTAAGATTACTGTTTTTACAATATTCTATTAGAGGGAACATGAGAATATATGAAGAGAAAGATAAAATGAACACCAAAACAAACTGACACTCCCTGGAAAGTTTTCTTATTGCTTGCATTTCACACACATAAAATATACTTCCATTCTCTAAAAACTACCATCTGTATATCTCTACTACACAGCTCAGGAATGAGGACAGCTGAATATTTTACATGCCATATAACTTACAGAAACTTTTATAAAATTTTCTTTCCAGCTACTAACATTTTAACTAAGTAAGTTAATACTACATGTAAATGAGAAGAGGTGACAAGAAACACATAAGTTTATTTACAGTTGGGGAAGAGAGGAAGAGTGGTGATCAACCCTAAATTCTGTTATCCATTTATTTAAAACTTCTTCACTTCGTAGTCTATATATTCTTTTTTTCCTTGATAAATGATTTTATAAAAACATTTTGAGGTTTAGAAGATAGAAATGAACATCAGTCACTCTGTAATATGAAGATCCTGAAAGCAGAAATCAGTCCGTACTCCCCTTCCCCTCTCCTTCTTTGTTCCTTTAGTGTCTGAAACATTATCTTAGGGGGAGAGGTGGTGCTTGGTGCAAGTCCTCACCTTTACTCACAGCAGCCCAACACTGTATAAGGTCTTTCCGAATAACTCTTAGAGATGGCAGATTCCGTGTTATCAAACCAAAACCTCTTGAGTTTAGAGAATCAAATGCTGCCTCTGGAATTTTCCTCATTTCCCTCCCACCCTTTAGTTCTTTAAAAGCAATAACAAGGACAGGGACACTTCTGATTTGTGAACAAAATTGCTATTGTACTATGTCTGAAAGCACAAAGCAAAAATATAGGAACACTCTGACCTCTAAAAATAATGCATTTTAAGTCCTGTTGTCCTGTGTTAAGACCATTATTTCTCCTTCAGAAATTTACTTTGAGTTTCCAAATATTTAGGGATGCTTGGTAATTTAAGGTAAATATGCCATATCTAAGGATGCCTGAAGTTGTTCAACATTTCCATGACATACAGCAAATCTGATGAACAATAAATTAAAGGATGATCAACTAAACTATTCTTTTCTGTTTCCTGACTATCAACATCATCTTTAAACTATGCACTAATTAATAAACTGAAGTGTTTGCTATTTCTCCATACCTAATGCTAAAAGGAAGATGTTTTTAGAGTGAATGTATTATACTATTAAAATACATGCCCATCCGGTATGCCTCAACGTAATTACAGTTTTGTATAATTAGCGTTCCATGTCAAAAGATTTATAGCTTTATCACCTCAAGCAATATTTCACACCTGCCAAGAATGATTTATACAATAATGACTTAAAGTGTAAAATAGAATCCTCAAAGGAAGGGCTGTCAAATATTCCTACTGCAAATAACTAGGTTTTTAAAAATTGATACTCTGGTAAACAGCAAGTACAATTGTACCTAGTAAGGGCACATAAAGTGGGATGGTAGGACGTGCTGCTGCACAGGTGATCATGCACTGCATCAGTGTGAGCTCATTGCATAGATCACAGGCTTAAACTGCTTATAAAGCCTCTGGCCATTCTGGAAAACAAGCTTTTGGAAATAATACCATGCTCATAGTTTTGCTACTCTAGTATGAGTGAATGGACAAAGTGGAAACAGAATGTATCAATTTTCTGTTAATTTGCTCATTGTACTATTACATTACTGTTCATATTCCTGTGAAATGCTAATTAAAGAATAAGTAAAGGAAGCAATTACTGCATATACTTGAGAAACCAAGAACCTCTCAAAACCAAATGACCTCAATAATAAAGAAATAGGAAAGTTTGAGAAACAACCAATGAAAATGTTGGTTATTCTGTCCCTTCCTGCTTTTATAAATGTAGCGTCGCTGGCAGGTCCTTAAGAGGAAAGATTTTCAAAGCATTTTAACTTCATAAGCTCTAACTGATTTTGTAGTTGCCATGTGAATGAAAGCAAAACACTCTGAAGAATCTGTTCAAAGTATCTTTACTAGTAGCAAAAACACAAGTTGATTACATTCAGAGCAAATAGTCCAACTGCGTGTCTTCACGATCTAAAAAGGTCATTCAATGTAATCTTTTTCTTTGGAATTAAAAGGAAAAAGCTTGGCCTGTCACCTCGTGTTTTTCATATCAATAAAAGCAAAATAGGCAGCATTTGTCATTAAAAATACTCAAGACCTTGTAGACTGGTCACATCTGAAAATGTAGCCAACAGAATCAAAATCTTCACCAAAGGTTGATATTTATACACCTAAAGAAACTTCCAAATAAAGATTCCTTGCTTACAACAGGGAATTTTTAATTCTTATAACCAAGCAAATCACTCGGATAGGAATATCTGCATTATTCAATCTACTAGCATCTTCAATGTACTGTAGAAATTTGTCAATTCATGCTTGTGATTACACATGAAATTGCTTTTTTAGGTGTTGTGCAATAATTTTACACACTCACATTGTACAAGTTAATACAGCTTTTAAATATCACCATTCTACTTGCAGTGTAAAAACTTCTATTTGAAAACACTGTCCGAAAAAATATAGTTAGTTACTTAAGTGATTCTGACAGTCAGATTCATTTTATACTTAAATTCTACAAGTTGAAAGTGTCCTAGAAAACACAATGACCGAATGTGGACCAACATGTCATAGTGACATGATGAATATGCAGATGTGAAAAACGTCAGACTTCAAATTATTCCAAAAGCCCAATTCGCTGGCATCAGACACACACAAAAAAAGATGAGTTGCATTTGGGTGGTGAGAGCCTCAGTCCAAAATATGCTTTCAAGACAACAGAGCAATTAAGCTATTTCTAGTATGCCAACACTATGGATTGAAAAGTGTCAGGGGAAATGAGAACTTTAAAAACAATCTCTATGTTGGTTGATAGTCATATAATTGTCATATAATTGTTGTCCTTATAGATTAATCCAAAGTTATACAAACCTGCTTTTCCAATCATACTTTGTTATGCATACACACTCGTCAGTGGATGTTAAGGAAAATCCAGTAATTAAAAATTAAATTTTGTAGTATAAAGTATTTAATTGTAAGCAAATAAGAAGAAGAGCTAAACCTTTTCCTTGCTAGAATGTGTTCTCTGCATTTTACCAAATGATTAGTCACCATATGATATAAGCTATAGCACATCACCCATTTACTCATTTACAAAACTTAGGAGTTATCTAAAAATCTGACTAAGTATCCCGCTGCCCACCGACTTCTGTCAATGGAAAAAAAATGATAATGCAATATCAACAAAAGTAACAACAATGTGCATTTTTAAAATGACTTACCTTATTTAAGCCCTGAGTTGTCAAATATCATTGAAGTGTGCACCTTTGGGAATGAGTATAGTTTTAAATGGGTATATCTGAATATTCATATATGTGTGTTAATATATATATAGAGAGAGTATTTAATGAATGCATGTCCATTAAATGTGTGGGATTGTTTTTGAGAACTATTATAGGTTTAACATACTGTGCTTCCATAGCAAGCTTCAAAGAAGAAGGAGTGCCCTTGAAGTTGAGGTATGACCTTAAATTTGAGATGTCAGTTTTGCTGCAGCTGTAAAAATGAACACCAAAACCTCCACAGTACCATAGTTCCTTTTTCCCATTTCTTATTTTAGGACAGATCTTGAATACATGAACAGCCTTTAATATTTGAATATACATAGGTTTACTGGACCAGTTTCAGAAGTTCCTAAATATCTCCGTAACTGTGTGAAAAAGGAGCAAAGGAAACAAGAGGTGCTGCCTATCAAATAAAGCTGAAGAGCCAGGAAACACTTATAACTACAATAGTTTTAGTTTCAGATACACAGCTTTCAACAAGACTTAGCTTTGTGAAATAGTTTCACATTCAAGCAAATGAAACTGTATTTCTCTCCCACAAAATACCTATCAATGCAACCGGTGAATTATTAACCTTTACATTATTCCTTAGAAAGGGGAGAGTGTAAGACCAATTTGTGGCATTTTGTCCTCAGTGACTTTAAGTTACTGCCCTATTGAAGAGTACAGGGCATCCTTATTCAAGGAAGAAATTGGTCCTACTAGTCCACTAATAAAGTATCCATATTTCTTGAATCCTGTAACACTATAAGCAAAGCATATATCTACAACTGAATATTCAGGGCTTCTCTGCATATGAATTTGCAGAAATAAGTTGTCAAAATTTCATCTCAATGGAATCAAATACAAGAAATCCTAAGATAAACTTTACCATTTTTGTGATAGTAGGTGACCTCCACTTTTCTCTCCTCTGACCCCAGCAATGCCTGGGCAATTTGAGCAATATCATGCCTCTTGGTCTCAGGCCCATGGAGAAAGTCGCAGGTGCAAGGCTTTTGCATGACATCTGGCCTGGAGAAACCAGTCATCTCACAGAACCCATCGTTGCAGTAGATGATGGCACAGTTTTGCACTCTGGCATTTGCGATGATAAATTTTTTATCTGTAATAAGAAGATAGTGAGGCATTTTTTAAAAAGCTCCCATGAGATTCTTATAAACACTGGAGCAATTTGTTGCATAATAGGATATCTGAAATGCAGGTGCTTCTGAAATTGCTAACTGCCCAGGCTTTTAAGAGGGAAAAAAACACACACACACACAAAAACCTTAAATGTGAAGTTAATAATAGTCATAAGAAGTAGTTTTAACAAAAGTATTAAGGAACTACTCTACGAATTACATCTGGGATGTAATTTCCAGATAGTCTAGTTGTCAAGCTCTTTAACTCCCGGGGGTCCTAATGCACACCCCAGAAGCAACTGGCCAATTGATATTTCCAGAATGCCATTCAATTGCAAGGTAAATATTTTCAAAGCCAAGACAGAGAAACATCTTGTAGCTGTCAGATGTCTCACTTCAACCTTGGCCTTCAGAGTAGAACTTTCTCAAAGTAGTTATTATTCTTGGATTTTGCTTTTTTTCTATCCTTCTGAGGCATACTACATACTGATCATTTAAAAAAAAACATGAAACTATTAGCAACAAAACTATTTCACATTAATTAGAAGTTCAATAATACAAAGTTTCACCTTTCATGATACCTATTTTCCACGGGATAAAAACACACACACATGCAGTAAATCTCATGTTATTTACTGATAACACCTTTTCACTTTTACTTTGGGAGAACCTTGAATTTTTTTTGTGTAGCAGTAGGGCCTTTAATACAAAGGGTTTATTAATTTTGATCACAGATCATATTTACTATTTCCACATAGAATGTGAATCAGGATATAAAATTTATCTTGTGCACCAAGTATTATATCTTCATGTCACCAAATGCAGAGCTAAAATAACTACAAAATGTACAACATAAATGTGTGTTAATGTAGTTTCGAGGAAATGTCATATAAATTAACAAGTATAGGATTTAAACTTATTATATTATATAACAATCAGTCACCCCTTACACTTAGTTCACATGAGAATATTAAATTGTTCTGCATTCAGCCTTTGTGGGATTTACTATATTACACTTCAACTTTTAAATTTCTAGATGGAAATTTAAGGGGATAATAAAAGGGCAGAAATGCTCTTTTGAATAACAAACTGCTTGCGTTGGGAACCAGCATAGATCAGATACTGCTTTTTTCCATATTATCCCGCTTGGGATATATTTGCATTGATTCAATGCAAAGTTTAGCTTCTATAAACTAACCGCAAGCAAGCATCCCTGTCATATCACAGCCCTGCGATTTAACCAAGGTAAAAGAGAGTTCGCATAGCCATATCCAGCGCTGCCAGCATTTACATTCTCCTGTTCCGGCAGTCCGCTCTGCCCTGCTCCTGACTTTGAAAAAGTCTACCATAAAACAGCCACAAAACATAAACCCGTTATGCTCATACGTTCCCTTTAAGATAGTAGAAGAAGAGGGCATTAAGTAGCAAGGCAGATAATGGAGCAGTGGGAGAGGAGGATCAAATTGCCTCCCGTAATGGAGACCATAATCTAAAATGTACATCAAAATTAATATCGGAGGGGGACCGCTCCCGCTGCCACCCGAGGCTCCTGGCTCGGTTTCACAGCCTCTAACTTGCCGCGGCCCGGAGTTGCCGTCTGCTCGGCTTGTACGCGGCGGACGCCAGGCGCGCTGTCAGAGCAGAAAGCGAGGGAGGCAGGAGAGAACAGATGAACTTACTTTGCCCTTCAAATTTCCGAATGATGGTCCCCAAAAACGTGTTCTGGGGTGCCACATGCCCCCTGCGGACAGGCATGTTGGCCCCGGGGTCCGGAGGAGCGCTCCCCGCGAGCTCTGGAGTTCTCCCGGGGTGTCTCTCCGCTAGAGCCCAGGCCCGCGCGCCGGCCGCTCTTTGTGGCAGAGCATCCTCTTTGGAAACCAGCAGCGTCTTCCCATTAGCACCACTTGGAGACACCCGCTCTCCCCGGCGGAGTCCTCCCCATTCCCCGCGCCTTCCGGAGGGGCCTCGCGCCCGACTGCCGCGGGTGAGCGGGGGTGGGGGTGGGGAGAGGCTGGGAGGCGGGGTGAGGGCAGGGGGCGGGCCGGGCGGAGGAGGGAGCGGCGGGGTGGG